GGAAAAAAAAGATACGTATGAGTCCGAGATCTCGAGCCCTCAGGTTCGTAAGTTTCAATTAACCTTTCCAATTTTGAGTCAATCTCAATTTTCATTAATCTGAAATTAACTTCGCGATCCTTTTGATCATAAATTCGAAATATATACATAGTGTCAACACTCACCAAGTAGGCAAAAACTTCTGGGTGTCTCGAAAAAGTCCCATAGCCACGATGCTCTTAAAATAAACGAATCGTGAAAAATCATATCAGCATTGCAGACTGCTTGTACGTTGATAGAATGCCACCCTTTGCGGTTAACATACAAGGGTTCGTCTTCGTCGGAAGGGGCTCTGATGGGAACATGGGTGCAATCAATGGCACCAACCACTTTCGGAAAACCAGCGATGCTGAAAAATCCAGCTTGTTTTCACAATATCATCACCAGACGGAAATTGAACACACTTTCTCAAATACACAGCAATCAAGGCGTCTACTACATTCCAGAGCACTCGAGATGCTGTTGACTGACTGAATCCACCGAGTGAGGCGAAAGATCTTTGAAATACACCACTACCGACGTAGTAAAGCGCCGCGCATACTTGATGCAGAGGAGAAAGAGCTTGACTTCTTGCAGTCTGTCGTTCTAGGTGATTTGAGAGATCCTTCGTGATTTCAAGAATGACTTGCCTCGGAAACCTGTAGTTCTTAGTCAAATACTCTTCCGATGCCTGAAGGGGGTCGTATCGGTCTTGATAAACTCTTTCCCTCCGGAGAGCACGTCGATAAATTTCTGTTAGAACCAGACATGGATAAGCCATCACAGCCCACTGCTAAATGAGCGGCTACATGCTTGTGGCTGAGGGTCATGTCATGGCAATGTGGGCAGGAATTTTTCTATTGTCATAACCCATTGGTTGCCTCAGGATAGAATTTCCTCCCCGAGGCGAATAACCTCCTGAAAAGTGAATGACCCCAAGACCCAGGAAAAATGGAAAATATCTCCCAAATGTGGACGACCCTATGACCTCCGAAGCAAAATCCTGTGAATCCAACGTGGACATATCCTGCGAACCCCCCAATGTAAAACAACTTTAGATTTTTTGAGACACTCAATTAATGAAAGTCCAAGAAATTGGAATTCGTCGTTTCGGGGAATGGTCGCACTTTCTCCATCCATTTTGCGCTGCAGGGCCTGCAGTCTCAGGGTCGATCCACAAGGTTTTTTTTCTTTTTCTTTTTCTTTTCTCGGACTGACCCGTCTGAGAGTCTGGCTCGTATCATCGAAGGCTTCCAGAAGGCCCTGGAAGGCTCTGGGTTGCTCCACCGAGAATTTGGCACGTTTCCTGCAGCTCCTTGCGATCTTTCTGCTGTTGCTAACTGCGACGAAAAAATTTGCTTGCGGAGTCACGCGCTTTAACCTTCGGGTTTCAATGTCATATTTGACGTTCGTGGCATATTTGACGGATGTATGAAGACTTCCAATGAAACGCAAATAGTTTTTTTTTGTATTTATTTGTACGTATTTATGTGTTGAATCCTTGATTCGGCGAAGAAACGAAGAGGAAAATCACAGAGAAAAAAAAAAATAGGGGAAAAAAAATAGGAATGTGATATGGCAGGGAATCTTCCAGCTAATTTTTTTCTCCACGACACATGACATCGAGAATATCCATCCGGATAATTCCGTCAGTGATCCTCATCCAGGGTCGCCTCTCCTTAATCTTTCTCGTTCCGACGCGTTTCCCTCGGCGAGGTGAAAGAGGAACAATAATAAATCGAGCAGGAATAAACAAGCGAATAATTAAAAACAAAGAGAACGTCTTGGGGGTTTGCTTTCATGCTCCGTTTTCATGCTCCTCTCCCTGAAATTACTGCGGGAACTTGAACCACCGCGTTGTTTCGCAATAATCGTGCTAAAAGCCGTTACAACTAATATGAAAGTAGTTGCAACCGGTCGGTATGGTTAATTAATTAATTGGCAATTGAAGGAAAAAACTGGAGTTTCCACGAAAAAATAGTCTTCCCGTCTCCCAAAATCGCGACGATTCGAATAATCCGCAGATGGAGTTCCGCGCTGACAATCCCATTCCCCCTTAGCAATTCGCTCCTCGATTTATTCATGGAATTTCTGCCTCACGTGCCCGCGACAATATGCTTGCGCATCGGCGCCTCAATCAAGAAGTTCCTTTTTAATCCTTTTTTTTTCCCACCCAGGAGATCCACTTCAATCTTTATTTTTTTTTTTTAATAATTTGTCGAGATTGAAGTAATCAAAGATATACACATAATTTAAACAATGTATAATTTAAAATCCTGTAAATACCTTACTATTTAAAGAGACTCTGCATATCGTAGAAATGTTTACCTGGATCGATGGAAAACACCCGCGAGAGCTGAACCAAGTCACAAATATTTTATTTCGGTCGTATAAAAAAAGAAACGGAGACGAGGAAAGACGACCTAGGATCCTTCGCGACCCGGTTCTCCCGACGTCCCCTCGAGCAGGGCTTCGACGGGGAGGCGGTCGCCCCAGTCGGCCCAGCGGACGAGGCGGTACATCTCCTTGCCGTGTTTGCTCTGGGTGCTGATGATCTCTTCGAGGGTGCCCTGGGGGGTGCAGAGGCGGCAGACGGCGTGACGGCTGCGGGTCAGGACGGGGCGGACCACGCGGGGCCATCGAGCCTCTTCGTGAGGCCCTCGAGGTTCACCGCGAGGGCCTCGAGGTTCTTCCGTGCTTCCCTTCTTGAACACGAGGTAGGAGAAGACCTCGCTTTGGGCATCGCGATGTTCGCCGTAGTCCAACGGGAAGTACCGGACCGGGAAGTTGCAGGGAGTGAACTTGGCCGCCCCGAGGCGAGGGCAGAGGGTCGTGTGGGGGCAGGGAGCGACCAGCGTCACCGGCGTCCCCGACCGCTTCCCCATCTCCAGCACGAAATCCCTTACCTCGAGGAGGGTCGCGAAGCCCGCGTTGGTACCCAGTTCCAGGAAGATCATGTAATCGCTGGCCTTCCTCCAGAGGTTCTCCAGCAGTTGGACGCGGGAGCGGATGTCGGGGAGTTCGAGGAGGCTGTAGGCGGAGACGACCAGGTCGAAGGTGCGGTCGGAGGAGGCGGGGAGGAACTGGCGGTGGAAGACGTGGGGGATGCAGGGGGTGGCGTCGGGGTCGCCGCCGCGGGTGAGCAGGGATGCCAGGTCGTTCATCTCGCGGCAGGGGTCGACGCAGAAGTGCTCGCGGAGGGAGTCGGGCCAGGCGGCGTCGGCGGCCCAGGTCACGGAGCCGAGGCCGGAGCCCAGGTCGAAGAGGTATTTCGGGCTGAAGTCGGGGTCCTGGCGCTTCGTCTCGGCGAACACGGCGGTGAGGGCCGCGAATTCCGGCGCGAATCGCTCCGTGAGGTAGACCATGCCCATGCGGAGGTCGAAGGAGATCGGCTGCCAGTGGTGGGCCCGGATCTTGAGCCGTCGAGACACGATGGCCTTGAGTTTCTGCATCTGACGTTGCTCCAGCGTCTCCTGCCCGGCCCAGCCTAAATCCTCGAGGACTTTCGCCTCCACCTGCCGGCCGAGGCGCTGGAGGTCGTCCGTCTCGGCGGGCGGGTGCCTGCCCCTGAGGAATGCGTACAGCTGCTTCCCCTCCTCCATCAGCTTCTTCGGCTGCATCTCCAGCGTCTGCACGAGGTTGTTCGCCGCAGTCTCCAAGGGGTCGGGGACGCGGATGCACGGGGAGCGCCACGTGCCAGGGTGTCGCCGCTTCACGCCCAGGTCCTCCACCAGGGGCTTCAACGCGGAGACCGTGCTCACGAAGCGCTTCATCGTCGCACCTGTGATGAACCTGCGAGAAAAGACATTTCATCGCTCGTGTCTCGACGTAATGGGGCGTTCGGAAAAGAATCTCGAGGAATGGCACGGAATCCCCATCGCATAATGCCGCGTTCGGGCTGGCAACAGTTATCTCATGGCATTCGCTATACGGTCGTCCTTCATGCCCCCCCCCATTCTGCTATCGTTTCTCGGAGAGATAATTTCCGGGAAAACTTTTGCACAATCGGCGACTGTGGGGGCGATGTTGCAACTCAAACAGGTCGGAAATTCTCATCCCTCGGCAAACGAAAAGGAATATAAACCAATAAACTAAATAGATAACAATTCTCTCTCATTTGGGAAGAACCACCGAACCTGTTGGACCTCCATCGAAAATTCTCAAATTTCAATAATAATATTTATATTAAAACAAAAGAAAACTATGAGACAGCTTTGGACGAGGAGGAACTTCTCGAGCATATCTGCACAATTTCTCTGATGAAACAACTTCCTATGAGTCATGGTCGCAAACTCATGTCCTAGCATTGCAAGAAATTTTGCCATCACAGTGAGAGGTACATAGAGAGTGGCTCACTCAAATTTTTTTTTTCATCATAACAAATTTCCTCAAAGCTTTTATATATCCACTAAACCATGCAGCCAGTCCTGAAGCTGCTGGGAAAATGGCATCATTCGATATGGGACTGACTCTGGGACACCCAGGTACCAGCAGGTACTTGGACTTGTGGACAAGGTACACAGGTAGGAAAAAAAAGCCATCAAGAAGCAAATAGTTTTTGCTGAAAAATCTGCTGATTTCATGAAGCACCCTTAAAAAAAGGTTACAAATCTTGAATTTTCTTTATACTGCTCACATCTCAAGAGCTGCAAAAGGCCTCTCAATTATTTCAATTCCAGGCTGACCTCACCACATTGTTTTCAGATACCACAATGGTACAAAAATAATGCATAAGAAACCCATTCGTTCAAACTCTTACTTGAGGGCTGCTCTTCGGTTTATTTCAAGTATAAGAAATAAGCATTTAATTATTTTCTCAATGAGAATGGTGTAATCCCCTCTTTAAGCAGATTCATTGCCATCATCTACCCTTATCTATTTCCAGCCCATTGACCACATACAAATGCCATTTTCCACAGTACTCATCACTTATCGCATTGAAGCATACTTAAGCTGCTCTTTTAACAACCAAGGGGGAGATATTGACATTATCTCCCCCTTACCCAGCATATCAAGAATGATTACATCAATCACGATCCATCAAAGCATGGAAACGATTCGCACTGGCATCTGTGGGGCTTGGAATGACAGAGCCAATAAAAAGGGGATTCTTGAATCCAGATATGGCACCCATCCCACAAAATTTCAGATAAGTCTCGCTCAACCGCTCGTGTTCCTTCCATGATCTGAGCTCATGATTCTCGGGTACCTGAGGATCCAAATTATTTAACCTTTCATAAGTACTCCTGCAAATATGTATCTTAATTTTGAAATTCCAAGTCGTGTGCAAAATACTCTTTTTTGCAGCATTTCTCACATTTTAAATGCTGCAATGGAGCCACCACATAATGGTTTAAAAAAGAAAACTTTAAAGATATATACTATTGACAGACCCCAATAAATATTTTTCTAAAACAAACTAAGGAGTGCAAAAAAACTGCTCCCATAAGCATTTAAAATCCAATTCCTCAGAGTTAGGACAAACAAGTCATATATGTTTTGAGCAACTGTTAATGAACTGCCAAATAGGCCTTGGTCCAGTCCAGTTCATCCCACCCGCAAAAAGACCAAGCACAACCTTGCTTTCAGAGCCAAAGTACATGTAGAAAAGGTCTGCTACGACGAAATAAACCAGTGTTACACAAGAGCATTCCAGATATTATCTCCCCCCTCCAGACAAACAAGAAAAGCCAGATAGAGATGAGCTCTGTTTATCCACTCGCATTCCCCATCTAGGTCTATAACTGTCAAGCACCCCTGGATCTTGGATCTGATGATTCATTGTCCTACACATTTAGTATTGGTATTCCAAGGCCTCTTACACAGATACCCAAGGCTATCAGATGGATGCTGCAGCATCACTGTAGCTATCATCTGATTAATCCCGAGTGGCTCAGGCGAGGAGAGACCAGTAAAAAGTTGTTTTGAGTCAATACTATGGTAATGGCCCATGAATTTCCACTTCTTTCTATTCTGGCTACTCACGGTCAATCTACGAGCAGGACTGCTCATTTTGCTGAAAATTTTCACATAAGTGTATTCTTTCGCAAGGAAATATTCCAGAGGCCATATTATGACTGCAATATTAGAAAATACTTTTAAATTAATATTCATACCTAGATATTCACACCCACATAGCAGTAATTGCTCCCAATTTGCAGTTTTGTCTAAAACTGAATCTCCCATTTAAAAAAATATCTGCCCTGATATTGCATGTAAAGCAAAAGTTTCAGCTCATTTGGTCAGCTGAATACAGGGTCAGACTGGCCAACCAGGACACTGGGAAATTTCCCTGGGGCCCCCAAAACCTCTAAATTATACATATATTCTTGGGAAAGGGGCCCTTAGCAATTTCCCAGGGGGCCCCTAGGCTGCCTGTCTGACCCTAGATAAAAATGTTCTGCTGTCATTGATGAAGAAAGATTCAGGTCTACTAGGGCCAATGTTGATATTCCACTAGCTCATCAAAGGTATTAATAGGAACAGTAATGATACAATATAATTATCCCAGGACCATCATTTGGAAACAAAATGGATTAGAACACTACATAATAAATATCCAAGATCTCAACCTTTAACCTCAACCCTTCAAACAGCTCTCTTTGAAGGACCTCACTTTGACATTTTTCGTCTCATCGACATCTTGGTCCAACAAGATCCACTGGCAATGAGTGTCGCACAGGAACAGAATGATTAAGTACCTCCCTAGGTCATTCAATGGCATGAACTTCCATCCAACACATTCTATGAAACCTTATTAAAATAATGAAACTCTTAGAGCTTTGATAAATTGTTCATTCAGGACTCAATAGTTTGAGTGGGGCTGAATATTATGCAAAGCCTGGATATGACCACCAGTTGCTCAAGCGCTTGCATGGGCCATGAGAAAATCTGGGAGTCATAGAAGGAAAAGGGGAAGCAATATTCCACTGATTCCTAAGTAGGACTCATGCCTTTCAATTCTATACCTCAGTAAGCATCAGAAAAGGCATTTCAATGCATCTTTTGTGCACTTTGTGAACTTCTTTCTTGACTTAAAATCATCACGCTCATTGAAATTGTAGGATTCAGAATAATTGCAACAAAAAAAAGGCTTCAGTCAGCAGGCTTAGTTAGGGTAGCAGATCCAAGATTTGCAGGATGAACTCAGTTGAAATACTAAGCCAGATTTATGTAGATCCCTCAGTAGACTTTTTCCAAAATTTTGAAATACAGCCAAAGGATGTTTACAGCTCACATCAGAGTCTGATCCCATCTCTATCACAAGCTCATAACATTTCACATTACAATATGAAACACTATTCTGAGGCTATGGTTAGGAATTTTTCCCCTCTCAACCTCCACAACTGCCTCAGCCCTTACATTCTGCAGCTTACAATCCACTAGGAAAAAACCATGCCCAAGGAATAGCATGTGTGCAATTCCTGGTTTTAAACAACCTGGAGGCAATCATTGAACGTTGCCAATGCAGTTCATGCTACCAGGTGTCAAGAAATGTGGAAATTGAGTACAGTTAGTTGTACTAGAATAATACAACAAAACAAGTCAGCTAGAATGACCATGTTCTATTTCCACACAAAGTCAACTGGAGAAATATTAGGTACACAGCATAAAAAAATAAAATTGCAGAAGGGAAGTGAAGTGAAGTGAAAGAAAAGAAACATCACATGTATAGAGAGCATATTCAGTGTGAAAGGAAATATGATTTTTCAAGGTCAAATGGATTTCAGTTGCCCCCACGGAGACGGAGTACCAGGTGAAGAGTAGACTCTTTCTGGATGTTGTAATCTGAGAGGGTTCGGCCATCCTCAAGCTGCTTTCCGGCAAAGATCAACCTCTGCTGATCTGGGGGGATGCCCTCCTTGTCTTGGATCTTGGCCTTCACATTCTCAATGGTGTCAGACGGTTCCACCTCTAAGGTGATGGTCTTCCCAGTTAGAGTCTTCACAAAGATCTGCATCTTTTTTCCTCAAATATAACACCTGAAATGAAAATACATTTCAGGATTAAGTCTCTTGGCCTAATGCGTACCTAGTGAAAGTTCTCGAGGACTTATTTGGCAAGGGCTTGACTCTAACCCATCTCAAACTCTTTAGAAGATAATCAATGCTGTATTTAACATGAAAATCAGGTGTAACTGGCTCATACAATGGTCTATTCCTAAGTTAGGTTTGCAAGCTAACACTGGATATAATGTCCTAGAAACGTTGCCCTGATAAATGGCAATGCAGGTTATTAGCCTATGGGAGCCAATTTAAATATGACAATTAAGGAAAGCAGGATTCAAGGACTTGATGACTACTCCCCCATCAAGTTCCACACCTATAGCACTTATCAGTCTGAAAGTCTAAGTCAAAAAGAATGCTAATCACATCAACCTCCAATTAAATCCTAACATATGGAGAATTTCATCTTACCATCTGATTACTTTCCCGATTGATCTAGGCCTGCGATATGATGCATATTCTTCTTTACATCATTTAGGTATACACTGCAAAAACCTAAGTTGCCCTATTAAGAACATTATGACCCAAAAAAGTAAAAAATCAGGTATGCCCACCACCCATCAGGTATGCACTCCACCCCTACAATGGAGGCACAGAAGTACTTACAATAAGGAGTGTTGGAATTTTCAAATTGACATTGTAACTTGGTGCTAGTATACTCTTCCAGCTTATAGAAGTCAAGAAATTGATTTTCAACACACCTTCTCCCTATGCTGCTCCAGGTGTACTTGGCTCAAATTGCTTGTATAAGCAGTTATTTCAACTGATCAAATAACTAATCTCCTTACTGCCCTGAACGGCAAACCGAAAACGAAAATCCGTTTCGGAACTACAATCTGCAATCCGAAATAAGTGTGACATCAGGTAATTCCAAAACTTGGGACTTCATGCTAGTTCCGCATCCGTTTCAAGATGCGTATCGGATTGGCCCTGTAGGTTTATCCAATGCCTGCATACTACGAATGACTTGATTTTTCGGAACCCTGAACGGATGTGTGCAATGGAACTGTTCGTAGAGTGACAGGAAATCATTCCGAAAGTGTGTATAAAACGACAACTCTGTAAATTGTCTTAACACACGAGACTCACCTGAAATATGGACTTCTGAATACTCTGACCGAATGTATGCCTAGGGCAGGTCAATTCTTTTCGTGTCTCAAGTGGAGCCCAGCTGAAATCACGTCACACAATCCCTGAACTCCTACGATATCTGAGATACTGTGATGGCGTCTCTTTATTCTCCGTGCTTTTATAGGGATGAATGACGCGTTTTAGAGTGCTCCTCTGGAATAATTTCATTGGTCAGCCTCAGCTCAGAATACTTTTTATCTCTACCGTACAACCCGACCTATCTTGGGAAAATATTTAAATTACCTAATGTATCATTTTGTGATCCAATTCATGGTGGTGATCCAATTCATAGGAGCAATAGAGAAATTGCGACGATAGGAAATAAGAAACACATCCGAGGAGGACTCTAAATGACGCGCATCATCCGAGCCAGTCCTGGAAGGCCAGAAAGTTCTGGAAGGTCGAACCACCTCATCTGTCACGTGAACACGTGGCGTTCCCCATGACGTCATCCCTCCGCCTCGATCGAGGGCTTGTCGGTGCCTGTTGTCTGGCTCCGATCCGGATTTGCCCCGTTGGGAAAGAAGCTTTTTCTATCTCAGGTGAAAGTGTTCCGTGTAATTTCTAAAGGAGGCAATTATTGAACGTTTGCAGATTTCCTAGTTAAAACATGGTGTTATATAATTAAGAGTAATTGTGGAAGTAGTCAAGAAATTATAATTTATTGAGTTTTTCCCTTGCATATAGTCTGTAGTAAGCTTCTATTTCGTACTGCTGCCCCTTTTGCGGAGCAGATTCAATGCGGAATTTGTTGTTTCGGGGAATGGTCGCACTTTCTCGACCCATTTTGCTCTGCAGAGTCTTATCGATGCATTCAGGGGGCCTGCCGTCTCAGGGTCGATCCACGAGGTATTTTTTCTTTTTTTTTTTTTCTTGGCCTGACCCGTCTGAGAGTCTGGCTCGTGTCCTCGAAGGCTTCCAGAAGGCCCTGGAAGGCCCTGGGTTGCTCTACCGAGAATTTGGCACGTTTCCTGCAGCTCGTTGCGATCTTTCTGCTGTTGCTAACTGCGACGAAAAAATTTGCTTGCGGAGTCACGCGCTTTAACCTTCGGGTTTGAATGTCATATTTGACGTGCGTGGCATATTTGACGGATGTATGAAGACTTCCAATGAAACGCAAATAGTTTTTTGTATTTATTTGTACGTATTTATGTGTTGAATCCTTTATTCGGGGAAGAAACGAAGAGGAAAATCACAGAGAAAAAAAAAATAGGAAAAAAAAAAGAGGAATGCGATATGGCAGGGAATCTTCCAGCTAATTTTTTTCCTCCACGACACATGACATCGAGAATATCCGTCCGGATAATCCCGTCAGTGATCCTCATCCACTTCCGCCATCTTCGAGGACAGGAAATGCATTTCCGGGGAAAGGCAGCCTGTCCCAGTTTCTTTCTCAGTCTCGGCGTCGCTTCAACCTGGAAATAAAGAGTGGATGAGACCTTGGCAACAAAACAGAAAGTGATGAAAAGGACACAATGCCCTTTTTTCCTGTTTTCCTGGCCTCCTTGCGACTTTTATTCTGGGACGCCTTGACACAGTTGGGAGCCTCCGAAAGGCCGAGTTAAAATGAAACGTGTCACCGTGACTCGAGATCGGCAGTCGAACAAATGCAGCCTCCCCCCCCCCCCCCATGATCTTTTCTTCGAGAAGTCAATTGGGGCCATTTTCTGTTCGGCGTCGCGGAACGCACATGAATGCCGGAGGGTTTTCCATCCAGTCGAGAAAGGAAAGGAAAAAACGGCGATGAAAGTTTTTTTGACGAGAGCAATCTTCACCGTCCGGCTCGACCTCCGTTTCGAAGAATTTTCCGCTAGCCCCAGAATGTAAGTCGGGCTTCCCCGCACTCTATCTTACCTCATGCTCAACCGATTGATACACCGACGAATGGAGAGATGTCGCTTCTGCGGCTGCGGCGTCGGGGGACCCGTCTCGGCCTCCTCCTCCATAGCGCGCGGCGCGGGCCTCTCGACCCAGACCCGTCCGGGTCCCTGGAGGCTGCTGGCGAGGCTGCTCCCACAGTCGGAGGAGGAGGTCTCGCTCAGCCCGGAGTCCTCCTGCGCCTCGTCGCGCTGGTCCTTCTCTCGTCGCTGGTTCTTCGCTTCTCGAGGGTCCTTCTCGCCGCGATTTTCGGGATGCGGGTGGGTGGACAGGCCCGATATCGCCTGTCGCATCGCCCTGTGCTCCTGCCGCAGTTGCTTCGATAACCTTCGAAGGGAAATAAAAAACAATGGGCGACGTGCGCGAAATCCGATGATGCTTTCATCGCGGACTCCAATGCGAATCCGTTTAACTCATATCATCCCGCTGAAGGTCGTGTGAAAATTTTCCCACGGAAGGGCATGCGAAAATGAATACTTTCGATTCGACCACGCGTCTCGCGGAGCCCTAGAAGTCCCGTTCGAGATCGGGTGAAAATTGGTCGAAATTGGTGAAAATTGGCTTCCGCGAAAATTGGGTGCGGTGAAAATCGGCTCTCCTTTCGCCTCGGCGGACGACAACGTGCGAAGTCCATAAATAAATTATTTAATTAGTGGGAAATGGAGCGCCATTCTCTCGGACAAGGTTCATTGTCTGATTGCGGATAACCTCAGGACACTTTGTGAAGAAGTACCCGTTATCGCCGGCCCATATATAGGCCAGGCACTTCGTGGCGCAAATTTATCGGCGGAAATTATCATTAAATTTGTCAAATATGAATTACCTCGAATATTTATAAGCATGAGCATAGCAAGCATGGTCTCTTTCAGGTCAAACGAGCTCTGAAGTTGACTTTGAATCCAAATCGCTTGGTTTTCTATTCGGAATGAGATTTCTAGATGATCCGACTAATCCCCACTTGGCACCATTTCTCATCTGCAAACACTTTCCAATCCCCAAAGCCACTGTAATCATCTGTCGTCCTTTTACCCCCTTTCTTTGCACATAAAACGACCTATTTGTTTTCACCAGCGAAAAATAACCGTTTTCCCCATTAACAAATTTTCTTCTATTCTTTTTTGCACTAAAAATTGAAAAAAAAAAATTCAAATGAAATTTTCTTTAGTATATATATGTATATATATATTTTTTTTATTTGTGAGACGATGAACAGTACCTCTCCTGAGCGGTCCTGATGGCAGGGTCCCGCTCGAGCGACTCCCTCGACCCCTCCATCCCCTCCCCCTCCGCCCCCACCCCCTCCCCGCCCCGCAGCGCCTGGCAGATGTGGCAGTCCCACCGGACGCACGACTCGCAGTGCTGGATCGCCAGGCGGATGAGGAACTGCAGCCTGGTGCTGTCCTCCCATTGCCGCTTCAACGCCTGGATCTGGGAACATTCAACATTATTGTTATCATTTTATTTATTTTATTATTTTTTTTTGTTCACAGTTCTGTGCATTTTTTTTAATTTGTGCTATTTTTATCCGAAAGAACTGAAAAGGAAGCGGAAACACGTCGAGCCAAAAGTCATTAAGGAAAATGACATTGTTTTGTGAGAACCGGTCTCCGGAAGACCGGTGGTCACATCGTCACATCAACACGACTTAATTGAATCCGGCATCATTAATCATCCTTTTGTGACCACAGTCGAGACGCAGCAGGAAATCGGGACTCCCCCGTCCCGCCATCCGATCTCACCGTAAAATTAAAAATGATAAAATTTAGGAATGCGCCCGGGGGAAAACCCAGCACAAATACCTTGAACTGGGAGAAGCTGTATCTGCTCTGAAGTGTATTCAGCTGCCTCTTCAGGGAGCTGTTCTCTTTGTACAAGCGATTCCTCTCCTCCAGGTTCAACTGCAAGAGACCCTCCGCCTCCATCCGATTCTTCCTCTCCTGCCCGACAAAATTCAACGATCATCGAACCGGCAATCAGCCAGACGGACCGGCGATGAACCAGGTGAACCGGAGCTGAACCTGCTCGAGCTGGTCCTCCAGCATGGAGATGGTCTCGTGGGCGGCGAAGATCTCGTCCTCCTTCTTCTGCATCCCCCGCTGCGTCTCCCCCAGCTGCGTCTTCAGGGCGTCCACCTCTCCCTTGTACGTCTTCTCCTGCCTCTGCGCGGAGGAAACGAAGTCCTTGAAATATCGGCCGGGGCACCGAGCCGTGTCGGATTCATCTCGACGCGGCGGAAATGAGAGAATCGTCTCGAGGCTCTTCCCCCCGTATTTTCGAGAGGAATCGCCGACACTCTCATGATCTTCTCCCCGGATCCCAAGGATGTGCAAAGCGAAGGCCGACAACGGTGGACGTCGACCCCGTCGACCATAGGCCGACCCGCTCAAAATCCATTCAATTTCTCCCGATTTCATCATTACCGCGAGAACTCATTTATTCTTACCGTCTATTATCATGAGAATTTAACAGAGTCGCCGTCATTCCATTCATTATGAGAACGGAAAAATCGATTTGAATTTCCAATCGATAAGGGCAAGGAAACCACTGAGATAAACAGGAAATGAAGGTAACGGTCTAAAGGTCTAAGGGTCTAACGGTAGAAGAAGGTCACCGGTCGATCGAAGGTCTCACGCATATATTTAAGGATATCAAAATAACATAAATGAAGCCGGTGAATCACGTTCTAGAATCTGTGACGTAACACGACGCGAACACCCCACAATAAATATATAATTATTATAATTATATAATTATAATTATCGATATTTATTTACAAAATAGCATACGGTTGACCAGGGCAATTGTGAACATCGGACGATCGCGAGCACGCAACAGATTTACAGAAAAAAAAAAACTCGCTTGTTAACTGCGCAATAAAACCCATCCTGCAGAACTGATTTCATTTTTACACCTTACCGCACTGCAGTCTCTTTACTCTCATGCTTTTCATGACCGAAACGGAAAATTGTTCATGCATCCAGCTGCATACGTAATTCGCATTCTTTTATATGTATATATATATTTTTAAATTATATTTATTTTTTTTTTTTATTTTAGAAAGACGCCGGTCGGGTTGTCTACATCGACAAGGCAATCGTCTAAATCGACGGGACAATTACGATGAGAATTCCAACAGCCAATGGAAATAACTCAACTGTTAATGAAGGAAGATGATTGCTATCACTTTTATTCATAATCACCTCTGAAATATATTTAAATGACGTGACATGCACCAGGTGCTTCCCGGCATGTTCACGCGAGGGCGTTGGCCGCAGCCCTCAACGTCTGGATTGGTCAGCGACCTTCAACACAATGTGTTGAAGGTCACACCTGATCTGGCAGGTGCCGCCTTCCACCAGCGCCGCCTAGATTTAAATGCCCCCCAAAAGGACATTTAATGGACGTTGCAGGGCGGCCCACGAGTGAGTTTACCAAATTAATGAAACAAAGATTAAATTATTTTGTTCCTTGGTAAGTCTATGAGCCATTTCAGTAGTAAACAAATACAGCCAACAGGATTTAAAAAAAAAGTACAAACTAATTCCATGTAACATTAATAACAAACCTAGGTTAATAAGAAATTATTGGTCCTGAAAATCTCTCGATAAACTTACTTATGTACCACTCTGTATTTTAACTTCTCCTTTTTTTTTTTTAAAGCATAATTGAAGTTTTGCGCATTCAGATGTGCTACGAACACGTCAAGCGATTTTTTTAAGATAAATTTTTAAAGGCGTTCCTTTCAAATAAATTTTCAACCATCTTATTTCTTACAATCCATCACAATTTTAGTTATTATCACCAGATTCCACGGCCACAGAATAATTTGTTGTGGTGAAATGTAAATCACCAATCTCCCAAGCATGAATTTTTCTCGGTGTATTTTTACCTCGCACGAAACAAATGATCAACAGCTGTGCGAACTGTGCGAACTGTGCGAATGGATGATGGAAACAGCAGCCGCTCGCAATTGACGCATGTCCGCAATCGGCCGAAAAGTATTTTTGGCCGATTGCGAACAGTAACGGTGACGGTGACAGTAACGGTAACAGTGTCCTGCTCCTGTTATAACTGCATTTTCGCAATTACCCCGGTCAACCCAAAGTTTTAATTGCATAGGAAATTATCAAGTCATCAAATTATCAAATTATATCATAATTTTCGCATAACTGCTCTCACCCTGAGTTGCTGGACTTCAGACTGGTACTGATCGTACTTGGCAAGAAGCCCCTCATACTCCTCGTGGATCTCCATGTACTTTCGATAGTGCGCCTTGAAGAGCACGAACCTGAAAGGAGTAATTAGCAAGGTGTGGGAAAAAATTGCAAAATCATTAGTATTTGCGGTCGTGAATTTTTTTCTGACGATTGTGCGCTCCCAAAAAAAGCTTTTTTTACAGTATTTTTTTTTCCTGACAAATGGGAAACGACTCCCTCCGTCCGTATGTCAGGTAACGGATCGGTTTCCGTCTGAGACGTTCCCACGAGGAAATTCCTAATTGGAAAAATTTTTTTGGGAAACAGAAGGGAAGTACGTAATGCTTTCACGCTGGGGTCCTTTTTTTCCGTGGAATCGTAAAAGTTTCCCTGACCCAGGTGGACGTAACGGTCGCGATACGAATCCAAGAGGGAAAAAACGCGCCGAGCATCATGGGTCGCATCCCCGACCCGGATTACTACAAGATCAGCGGGATGAGATGAACGAAGATGAGATGAACGGGGATGATATGAACGGGGATGAGATGAACGGGGATGAGATGAGAGGGTAAACAGAGATAATACGTGTTTGTCGTCGCCGGGGGATGCGGCTTCAACACACAAGTTTCGCGGGGTAATGGATGGAGTGCGCGAGGTAATGGATGGATCGGGCTCCCGAGTCATCACGGAAAGCGATGAATTACACTTATGTAACGGATGAGATAATTCGGAATCCTCTCCGGGTGGACCTCGGGGGGAATCTCACGAGCTCGTTAGGTCCCTTTCCGGTTCATTGGACTGCGGTGGCCCGTCGGGAGACTCGGGGCGGGCGTGGAGGCCCGTCCCTCTCCCCGTCGCTAAATGATCGCGGGAATAGAGCCGACGTGATCGTGCGAAACGCGTCGAAACGAAAACCCTAACGGGACGTGAGGAACGCTGTTCGAGTCGAAGGGCGCGAAACGAGGCACGAGAACGAGGCACGAGAACGAGGCACGAGAACGAGGCACGAGAACGAGGCACGAGAACGCTGTTCGAGTCTCTCTCCTAAGAATTCCGTCGTTCCCTCGTTGCGATCTCGGTGGTAATGGATATCTGACGTGTCACGTGGATCGTATTGACCAAGCCACGTGAATGAAATGAAGGAAACGCCTCGGTCTATACTTAACCTGTTTTTCCTCTTCTACGCCCGAATTCCCCCCCATTTCAGAAAGAGGGAGGAGCCCGTCTTGCCTTTGCCTCCCCGTATTACCGCTCCTCATTGCCTCTCCTTGCCTCCCACCATCCCCCACGATGGAAGAGGAAATGCATCCGCGAGAATGGAGGGCAGACGAGGCGGGAACCGATCCTCATCCGTTTCCTGCATCACTCCATCCATTAAAGCGGTGCCCGGGGGGGGGGGGGGGGGGGGGGGAGAGCCTATCTCCATTATCGCGTCATCATTCGGATTTAGATTTGAACTGGGTTGGACGTATATTAACTGGGCCGGATGGACGATAAATGGGTCCGATAGACGTCACCTGGGCTCAGGTGCGTGGTACCGTATTTTCCGTGATGGATCGGCGTGATTAGAAAACCCCGTTCGGCGTCTTCATTCCCGTTTCTCGCATTATTCATAGCATTTCCCTCCCGTCCGGCAGGAGATGGCAAGAAAAAAATCGAAATACGTCCGTGCGTGGATTCGTAATGCCTTCTCGGATGTCCGGGCGTCGATCGACTCGAGTGGTTTCACGGTTTGCTTTCCTCTCGTCGTTCTCGCTGCGTGTCGAGGTATCGTGCTGGCCGAATGGCGTGCAATAACATTGCTTTCTGCCGTGTCATTACGGGGCGCAGTATGGGGATTGGAGTGGAAAAAATAACAAATATGGAGGAATTCCAGAGTTTGCTGAAATAACTTAGAAAGTATTGAATAAAGAATTTCAAGGTTCCACCAATTAGCCGATCCTATCTCATTTTTAGTCTGGGCAGTGGTTAACCTTAGGCCTGCCGGTCGATAAAATCGACCTTTGATAAGATTAAGCAGTACCAAGGTCGATCTCATCGACCACTTTTTTCTTGTAATACTTGTGCACCCACCCGAAACTTAAAAAAAAAAGCGCTAGGTCATGATACGTCTGCAAAGCAAGATTTATCACATTTCAAATGATATATGACACTTCGCGATAGCACCGTAGGAATTGGGCAGTCCAAAGATCCAGGACTCTCAAAAGTACTCAAGTACGCGGAAAGACCGCGAGAAGCATGACGTGCGCGAATGACTCACTTGAGAAAGTCCTCGTATCGAATCATGGAGTCCAACGAGTCGAGGATGTTCGTCACCTCTTTGATGTCCATCTTGCCGCTGCACTCGCTCGCACCCTCCCTCTGGCCCAGCCGCACGGAGACTGACCCGTCTGCGGGCGGAACGGCAGTCGACAGCGCGCTCTACACCCCGTCCCGCGCAACTTTAGACGCGGGCTCCGAGGCGTCTGCAGCGGTAGAGATCCCTACACCCCGTCCCGCGCATACGCGGGCTCCACGCCGTCTGCTCCTACGGAATCTCAGGCGTCAGGTGGATCAGGCTGATGTACGGCACGTTGTCATCTCCTCATATAACGCGTTTGTGATGCGTGACCCGAGTCGGAATGGAAATGGGGAAGGACCGTGACGACACGTCCCACGAATCCAAGCACGAAATTGGGACCACTGCCCTGACCCCCAATTACTAATCTCACGGGCGACTTGACAAACAGTATATAGGTGAGAATCCCCCCCGCTTCCGTACGTCATCGATCTCATAAACAAGACTCCCGTCGTTGCAGACTAACCGTTACCTTCGGTCTGACTCCGGGTCACGAATTTCCCTTCGAAAGTGCGACAGCGTGGCAATCGGAGGATATCCTTTCCGGGAAGGCAACGGTCGAATTTAGAGAGGGAAAAATTCGGAGAATCCGAGAGAATCCACAGGAAATCCCTGTCGATCGTGGGTGGCTATATCCGGGAACTAATTGAGATCATTGCCCTTGAGAGAGCACCGAGGGTGTCCTAGGAGAGCACGGTGTCTCCTTTTCTTCCCATTCAACCACGAGAAAAGATTAATTCCGATCGGGGATCGTGGAGCCGTGATCTCCCAGCGTGTCACCCGTGAATGGCTCACCCGTGAATGGCTCATCCGCTCCGCTGCGTCCGAGCCGTGACTCGAGCCTTCACGGGAGTCGTGGCTTCACGGGAGTCGCCATTTCGCGGGAGTCCAGGACGAACCGAGTCCGTCGCTCTCGGTCACCTCTCATCACCGCATTTTTTTCCTTCTTAATGGACTCCCATGGCATCGAAATGCCCTGGCCTCATGCGCAATCAAGCAGCTCTAAATTAGGGGGGTTACGGGGTTTTAACCTTCTGCCCTCTTGCTTATCTCCCCTGCCCTACTTTAAGGAGGGGGTAAGATATATTAACTCCCACCCCCTTATCATAGCTCCAACGCCTCCTTTTACTAAATTTATTCTTTAACACGCAATCTCTGACTCAATCAAAGAAAAATCGCTCATTCTGATGGGTTGGGAAAAACCTAATGAATCCGCTAAAACGTTTTTCGAGAAAGTATTGTGTGAAGGAGAGAAGACTCGCCCAAAATCCCCACTCTTTTTTTTATGAATTCAAACCACTCAAGTTTTGGTGACGTCAGCAAGGATGGTTGTCCTCGATGGATATGGCAATTGGTAAAATCTGGTACAATCATGGTACACATGGACCTCCATATCTTTTCGACCTTTCCTCTCCGAGCGATATCCCAAGTAGTGATGAGATCAGCGCTTGGAGATACCCTCAAAAAAACCAACAAAACCGGTATGACCAAGAGCGGATTCGATCGGTTTCCACCAACCTATCAGCCAGCCTTTGATCGAGTCAGAGACTGCGTGTTAAAAAGGCAGAAGCAGACAACAAAGCTAACTGGCAACCGAATTCGCGGCGAAAGAGGAGGTTGCCATGCAGAATATACATGTGACCCAGCAACCTATGAAAGAATTCAGTCAGATATTCTTGATTCTCCAGAGAGGTTAAGGATGAAAGCATGGAAATTTCAGAGCACTCTGGGCCTCAATATACTGGCTGATTTTAATTTCTCTGTTGAGCAGGCTCTGATAGTATATTACTTATACAGGGTGACCATTTTAAGTGAGAACCCAAGAAATCATTTATAAAATTTGGCAGGAAATAGCTGGGATTATGAAAATTGGTAGTAATGTACATTGTTGTCTGGAAATACTGGTTTTTGGTTATTATTGGTAACCAGTAATCGGTAAACCCGATTATTGGTTTATTACGAATTACTGCCTGTGATGTGATGGGTGGGATGTCGACAATGAGTTACGAGATGTTGCTTTTCAAGTCATCGGAAGTGTGTGGATTATTATTGTTGCAGGCATTGTCCTTTACATAGCCCCATAGGGAGAAATCCAAAGGCGACAGATCTGGCGAGCGTGGGGGCCACACTCCTTTCGAAATGATGCGCTCCTCAAACAAGAGGGAAAGGTCGGCTAAACTCCGCCTCGATGAGTGAATGTTGCACCATCTTGCTGCCACCATGCTCTGGCAATTCCCTCTTCAGTCAGGTGTACAAGAAATTCATGGACTATATCAATGTACCGCTGGGAGGTTACGGTGTCTGTGAAAAAGATGGGTCTCACAATCCTGTGCCGGGTTATTGCTCACCACAATCCAATACTCAGTACGTCTTTCCAGACAACAAAATACATTACTACCAATTTTCATGCTCCCAGCTCTTTTCTACCAAAAGTTATTGTTTCAAGGGTTCTCACTTAAAATGATCACCCTGTATTATTACTTATATTTACCAAGCATTATTTGTGATTTGAGCGGGCTGATGCTCGGCACGGACTCGACCCTAGGCGATTCCCGCGAGGATCCAGACCCGCCCAGACCCCTCCGCCACGGAGCGACCCGACGCGAACCGTGTCTGGGCCGGGACTGACGAGGTGGGGACTCGGGATCCCCACCGAGGCATCCAGTGGGAATGGGAAGGTGGGGGAGAGAGGAGGGAAGGGTGAGGTGGGGGGGTGGGGGAGGGCGTGGTTTCATCAGATTTTGTGGAGGACGTAGTGATAGAGAGAGATAGGAGGTGCAATGACACGTCGAACAATGGTTGTTGGTGGGCATAATTAGGCAGGGGGAACACAGAAGAAATAGGAACAGTAACCCGGAGTGTGATGAAAGTAGTCGAAATGTTGAAGCTGTGAAGTTATCGTAGAGCTCGTATTGATGATTGGCTTTTGTAGCAACGAAATTCGTGGGATTCGCATGTTGGATCGGTCTGGGATCGAGGGGAAGAGACTGCGATTTTCTCATTCGAGATGAGAGGCCTCGATGCTCTCGGTGAGAAGCGGGGATAGAAGTTCAGGAAGGGGGGGAAAAGGGGGACGGGGGGAGCACTAGGCCTCTCTTCCGTATCTTTTTTCTGTGTGCTTTCACTTCCTTCAGCAGACTTTCGGGCTTAAACAGCGTTTCTGTCGCCCTAGTATGCATCTTTGAAACAAGATAGGGACCCCTATTGTCCGCAAGAAGTTGTGTCTTGAAAGTTCGAGGGAGACCATTACTCCCTACCCCCGCCCCGCCCCATTCAAGAAGCTCTTAGGGCGTCGCCCCACCCCTCAAACTATGAGCTTCTTGAATGGTCTCTAGAGGTCAATGCTTTTACGGTATTGGATGGGGGGGGTTCCTTATATAGTCAAGATATTAGGAGTCTTTTCCTTTCGTTTTCACAATACTTAGGCATTGAATCCCCACCAGACGGCTTTCTCGACCAACAATGGAAGACGGGGGGGAACTCACCACTTCGCACAAAGAAAGTCTCTCACCCGTGTGAATTGTCACCCTCCGATGCCACGCTGGGTCTGGACGGTCCCAGATGTCTTTCCGAAGTCCGGGGCCATTAAGCCGGTGTGATGACCTTGGTCGGAGGCCGGTGCCCAGTCGTGCACGCTGCAACAAAAGCTGGGTCGTGCACGACTGGCCATTGCGGAACGCATACTAATTGCGACGACTCAAGGCGAGTGGATCCTGCGTGAGTGGATGTTTTCTTAAAATGAACTTCAGCAGTCTGCACTGCGGAATCACTGTTGAAATATAGCTGCAAAGCGGACCGGTTTTCGATCGAACGATGAAGAACTGATGACCCGCCGGTGTCGTCGCATCAATGGGCGCAAGTGGGGTGCAGCGACATCTGTCAGAAGAAAAGGAACTAAAGCTTTTGCAAAGGAAGGAGAGAGAGCGGTTCGAGAGAGAATGTCTGCGTGCGCGCAACACCGGTTCACATCGCATGCTGCTCTCGAGCCACTCTGTTGAATGGTTTGCTGTGATCGCTAATTGAGTGCCGACCTGAGGTGATCTCTAGGATTCTGAAGATTCCATGCGACATGTCCAGTAATTCCAGCAGTATCGTTTTCGCAAGGACCATCAGTGCGGACCACAAAGACCTGGTGCACGATGTTGCCTTTGACTTTTATGGAAGAAGGGTTGCCACCTGCTCCAGCGATCAAACGGTCAAGGTGAGTCCCGACTGGCGTAGGCTCGTGTTAGGTTCATTTGCAACTGTACCCGTCGATAGAGTGCAGAATTCTTCGCAAATGAAATTATTTGGGCACAGACGTAACGTCAGATGTCTAACTTCCTAACGTTAAGCTAAGCCATATGCGTTAGCGTTGGCATGAAATCAAATAAATATCTGAAAATTGGGCTTTCCCTGTGTCTAATAGGTCAAAGGCCCAACATTTTCCTCATTCGTGCGGAAAATTGTTGAAGTTTATGAAATTAAACATGTCCCATCATAATCCCTATATCGATGTCCCTAGAATCAAAGCACCACTAGTGCCAGTGCTCTTTAGGGCACTGAACTTATTGCAAAAGCACTGCTATTGGATGCAAGGGAAGCTAAACTGAAATTTGGAGGCTTGGGGATATGAACCACCCATTTGCAAGTGTTTGGTCTGACCTTTGAGATTTACTGCCCATATGCTTCTTCTGGCCTTACCACAACCTTATACGTGCTTTCTCCACATTCTTCCATCGTATTTTTTAAAATGAATGTTTCTTCAAGAGTCTTGTGTGGAGGCATGGAGATGATAAGAAGCCACCAGTGATGTTTTTGTTTATAAGAGATAGAACTGGATGATATGGGACCCAGAGTAAAACCAGTTTATTTTTTTTCATGTTGCACATTATTAACCTGGGAATCTTCTTTTTTCCCCCCCCCCCCCCCCCCATATCAGGCTTTGATAGGGGGGTGCAGCCTAGCCTACTGGTAGTAAGTGTAAGCTGAATGGACATAAGAATTTCTGTTCTCTCCCAGGATGCACTATATGATTTCATCCAAAAATTGCACAGAGTAGGCATGGTTCAATGAAGAGGGCATAAGCAAAGAAAGAGGAATTTATTTATCACAGCGAAGGAAGAGCTGCTGTGAAAGTAGGATATGGGCCAAGAGACTGATGTCACAGCAACCTCCTTGCCCGCTTGCTGGAATTCCTTTGATAGGATGTCTCTGAAGAATACTTGAATGGGCTGAAATATCATGTGTTTATGCTGTCAGCATTGCAGAGTTGTGTTCTGATGTTGTAATTCAAAGAATATTATGAGAATGTAATCTTTAAAAAAAACGGCTGTGGAGAGGTAGTGGGCAGGGGAATCCCTTCCATCTTTTTTCAATCACCTCATTGAAAATCTAACATGAGTTGTCATATATCCTGAGTCAAGGGGAACTAAGAGATAAGGAACCATAAGAAGAATGTCATGATTGGTGCATGGAGTTTTGAGCAATGAATGAGGAAAGAGACACCAATATATACACAAGCTCAGGAGAGCACTCTCTTTTTTCTTGAAATGGTGTATTATATCAATGATTTAATAGCAAATATATTTTTAAAACTAAAAAATTATATTAAATTTTTTTTACTATTGCAGGTTTTCAACTTGGGTGATGATAATTCTTGGCACTGCACTGCTTCATGGAAGGCCCACAGTGGGTCAGTTTGGAAAGTGACTTGGGCACACCCCGAGTTTGGCCAAGTTTTGGCCACATGCTCCTTTGACCGTACTGCTACTGTGTGGGAAGAGATAGGTGAGCCAGTGACACGGAATCAAGAGCCATTTTGTCCTTTGCTCATCCAGAATGACATTTAATTAAAAATAACATTAGTATTTACATTTATCCTATTATATTTTTAGAATTTCATCATAAATGTAAAAGGTGTATTCTGTATTACTGATTGCAGTGACATCTGCTTCATCAACCCAGCAAGCACATCCTACCCACTGGGTGAAGAGAACCAGTTTAGTGGATTCCAGGACCTCAGTGAATGATGTGAAGTTTGGACCAAAACACCTTGGACTGCAATTAGCCACCTGTTCTGCCGATGGAATAGTGCGCATTTATGAAGCACCAGATGTTATGAATCTCAGCCAGTGGTCTCTCCAGCATGAAATCAATTGCAAACTCCAGTGCAGTTGTATTTCATGGACTCCTCTGAAGACTTGGTGAGAGCAACTCAATTTTAGATTCAAATCCCCCATTTCTTAGCTTTATAGGGCTCTTTGGGATGTGGTACTTCCACATTTTCATTGAAGATTTTGGAAGTCCTCAAGGTATCATCATTTATACTTTGTCATGTGATAGGTCCAGTCCACCAATGATAGCAGTTGGGAGCGATGAGCCAAATTTGACGGCAGGCCCCAAGACCTTCATCTATGAGTTCCAGTGCACCGATAGTCCCCAGTGGGTACGTGTGGACAGCCTGAAGGAAGTCACTAGTCCTGTCCATGACCTTTCTTTTGCCCCATGCTTGGGAAGGTCCTTCCACATACTGGGAATTGCTTCCAGAGATGTCCTCCTCATCAAGATCAAGCCCTTGCCGTGAGTATATGGTTTTCCCTCCCCATGCCTACCTGCTTTCCTTCTTCCCCCAGTGAGTTGCTAGAAGTGAAGACAAAGAGAAGAAAATTTAATCATGAAGATATTCTTACAGGAAGGAGACTTCACAAGCTTCTGGGGAGACCTCAAGTTCCAAATATGAGATAACCATCCTGGCCCGGCTGCCAGACCATCCACCAACAGCATGGAGAGTAGCTTGGAATCTAACAGGCACTATTCTAGCATCCACTGGAGATGATGGCAACATGAGATTATGGAAAGGTATGTGAGAATCAATTCTTAATGGGGTGTGAGGGTTATATCTGTTTCTTTCCTGTAATCTCATTGCTTTTGTCCTTAAGTGATAGTCTGCAAGAAACATGTCACTACTTTTTCTTTTAAATAAGACCATATGGCAGAAAAGTGCTCATGACTTGTGTTCCAGAAGCCATGTGATTTGCAGGAAATGGCTAAAAAAATTCAGTTCATGTTCAACTCTTCAAGGATAATTTCATTCTCTCTTGGGATTTAGTTGAATTGATCTCTTTCATAGCTGTATGTAAGTTCCCAATTGGAATGCTAAAATCAAGTTTCTGTTCTTTCATAATTTTTATATCATCAGGTCCAGAATATACGCAGAGGAATTATATGCTCAACTTTGATCATGAGGACTCCCTCCAAGATGACAGAAGAATGTCCTATATTTTAGGGGTAAAGAATGATGTAAAATTTTCATTGGGGGAGCATGTTGTCTCTGAACAGCTGCACACAGCAAGTATGCTTTCAAGAAACTCTTTACACCACTTGATAGTTTCCTGTAACACAGACATTGCTGCATGTTAAGTTGAAGGAGATATTTGTCTGAGAAGAAAATTTAAAAATTGGGTTAGGTTTTTAAGGGACATGTCATTGCAACAGATAGTTCATCAAGTAGGACACAAATATTCTATAATCCCCCTGGGAACTATGACATTATTAGATTACAGCACCTTCAGATCTGTTTGACTTCATGTGGAGGGAGCACTTGATTGACATCAGTGGCTTAACCCTCTCCTGGCCCTATTCCAAAGCCGTGGTTCCCCAGAACCTCATCATTTTACAAAACATGATTTTTATAAACTGTCAAAGCATCAAGTACTAACTCAATAGTCCAATACATGACACTAGGAGTCCCTAAAAATAAAAAAGAACGCTTACTACCGCTTTAGCAGGGAGCAACAAATTTGTCAAGAGTGCTTTGGCCTGGAGAGAATCAAGGTTTTTAACAACCATAGGATTACCCATCACAAAGGGAAGAGTGCTTCTTTACTTAAATGACAAGTTTTCTTGACTATTTCATACCTGGTCTCTAAGGAGAAAACAAAGTCATATTATTTAAGTCCAACTGATACTAGGAAAGTATCCCTCGAAACAAATCAATTGCCATGACCATGCCTTGCTTGCCCTAATGCTGACTTGAATCTTTTGGTTCAAATTGTATTTATTCTGGTAAATTTTTGCTTGGCTCTATTTCTGATTTTAGTGATGGTCTTTTATATGAGTATGTTATCCTGCAATGTTTTTTTTTTAAAGCTTTTTGAGATGTATTTTTCGTATTGTATGATCAATTTATTATACTGGTAGAAAAAAAAGCTTTTTTTTCAGACCCAAATCTAGGTATTAAAAATCCTCAAAATTTTGCTTAAAGTGAATTTTATCTAGGCTGAGTAGTTTGGTGTTTATTGTGCCAGTATTTTAGAGTGAAAAAAGTAAAGAATGATGCTTGAAATGGCATCACAACTTTGTTTCATTTCACTCTTGATGAGCCTAGTACTGGATACTGGACCTAGTCAACAGCTAGTGTGTTAGTTTTTTTTTGCTATCAGCAGCTCCATGAGCCAATATATGACATAAAATATCAATTTGTTTAAGTAACCATTATTTGTATTGTGCTTGGTGTATGAAAAGTCTGCACTTTGATATTTTGAATAGATTAAAGTTTTCAATGATTGGGTGAACCATATTAGTACAGATGTACTAAGAAATATTCAGAGGGTGTTACTTGCTAGAATTGACATGTCTATGTAAATTTATGGCATGCAATTTTAACATTTAATGAAATAAAGGTAAATAATGAAATCTACCTGAGTATGGACTCTTTATACACCCTGTATAGCCAGATTGTTTCCATTTTGGTCATTGGGTTCACTTTCTTGCAGCCAACTTTGATGGGAGATGGGAATGCATATCTGCCCTCAAGGGAGATGGTTCCCGATTGAATGAGGCACCAGCTCCACCTCTTCCAGCCCAAAGCAGTGGCACTAGCCTTTCTGATATTGGATCAATGGGCAATGCCAAATATTACAAACTTGGTGGTATCTCTCACAGAGAACAAGTCATTTGGCATTGACCTGGTCCATTTTTGTGACTGTGATCATTTATGTTGCCTGTTTGCTCTATATGTCTGGATTGATTTCATGTGTTCGCATTCATTCAGTAATGTAAAATAAAAGGAAACTTTTGAGAAGCAAAAGTTCTTTATTTTTTTTGCAGCCTTTCACTCCATTGACACAAGTGGAACTGGAATTTATGATGAAGCACCATCTCCTTCAGAAATCTCCTGTCCAGTGAGACTGAGGAAAAACCAAAAAATAACATGAACATCAACTCTGATCAGCAATATCTTCTCCACCATTCAAAATTTGTAGAAAAAGCATGCTTCTACCGGTCAACCTTAATTAGGATACATAAAAACCGGAGCAAAAGTTTTCAAGAGTTATCATGGGAATTTGCTTCTTTCTGAAATCTCTAAAAAAAAATTATAAATTTGGATAGTAATTTTGATTTTGGTTTGTTGGTTATGGGATTCATGTAGAAAAAAGAATTGGTTGAAACTTCACAGAATATCCTTCATCATCAGAGCATCAAGGCAAGCAGACAACCTCTTGAAGGTCCAAATAAGTCAAGAGCTCTCACTCCCCTTATTAAGTTTTCCTACCACTGCATTCCATAATTGTAATTAGATAATATCCTGTTGGCTGCCACTGCACTGCAGCTACATTCTGCAACACTAGAATGGTTTCATTTTTGTTTTAAAATCTAGAATGAAAATAAAAGTATTGCCACTAAGAAACAGAACTACTCCCATCCCATATTATATATTAAGCTCTCATAAAAGGTTAGAGTAGAGATAAAGTGACAAGTAGTGAATGAGTCACTCAATGGTCTGAGCTAGGCTTAATGTGGAAATCCAAGAATCAACAGTAATAATAATAGAAAGCAAGGTGCAACTTGTTTACCTTGCCTGCCTCTCGATTCTGGGTATTGAGCTTCTTTTCCACCTGGATGGTAAGCATTTGGGTGCGGAAGGATAGTGCTTTAGTCTTCTCAATGAGCTGGAGGTATGGAGAAAGTGCTTGGGTTCCCATGACAACATGACCAAGCTTAGAATCAATTTTCGCATCAAGTCTGGCATTGCGGATCAGATTCACGATCCAGCGTTCTGCTGCTTCCACATTCATGTTCAGCTTTTCAGCCAGCATGCTATTTAAAAAATAGAATAGTCCAATGCAAGAAATATCCATCGCCAATGAAGCAGGCATTGGTCTTTAGTGTTTTGCCTAGCCTAGCCTGGATGTTGAAAAAGACCAGTTCACCTTATGCTGATGCACTGATGAATGCGACAGAAGGTTTCAAAGATCATGAGTCGTGCATTTTCTATGAAGTCATCTAGACATGCAACAAGGAAGAAATCATTGGCCAGGACTGTTTCACACTCCCGCAACTTCTGCTGGGCACCATCAAAGTCGAAATTCACATATAAGTGCTCCAAGAATTCTGTGATAGGATCCCTGTAAGTGTAGGATTCCTGTGGGAAAAAGAGACAAAATGAATTCCACAAAAGTGTTGAAAATTTTCAAGACCATCAGGCTGAAAATTTGACCATCATACCTGCTGAATGACTTTAACAAGATCCTTCATGACAGTCCGTCGATGCTGCTTGTTGGTGATCACAGCAGTTGCCAGATACCGAAGGATATGAGGAGCCATTGTCTGGATGGCATTCAAATACCTGAAAATGGAAACCTCAAATTATAGGAAGAATTTCGAAAAAACATGAGACAGCTTGAATTGTTATATTTTGAGTCATTTATGCATATATTATTCCACTGAGATATGATTACTCCTCCATGGAATCTTCCCTTATGTTGACAAATAAAGGCTGTACATCAATATGAAATAATGCAATAAGAATTCATACCCTCAAAAGCAATAGTTGAACTTTTCTTTCTTGCCACTTCCTTAACCAGAAGCTTCTCAGTTAGACACTTAAATAATTCCCTTCTAATATGGCCTTCTGATGGCCTGGAAGGCATGAGATGCCTCCCAGGCCATCATTATTGTAATACTTTAGCTGTCACAAAGTTGCTGCAGCCCCAAACAAGAATCAGAAAGAGCATCATACTGGAGAAGAGTCACATCTCAAACCTTAGCATACATAAAGCATTTTTACTTGGAACATATTTGGAATATACATTGTTAGCTGTATTAATGCATTACTGTACACTTGTGGCTCAACAGCAAAAATGCTGATTACTCATATCTGAAAAGTGACAAAAATGCATGTAAACCAGGATGCTGCTTCAAAACAAGGTTAACCATCATGCTGGGTCTCAGTGAGAGAATCATCAAGTCAGTTCCAAGTATGCAGAAACAAAAATTAATCAATAGTAAGCCTACACAACATTCAGAGAAATGGAGCAGGAGAGATGAAGTCATTATGAGAATTCAAAAAATCCAACCACAAAAGATTTTTCATGCCATCCTCCTTGTAAACGACTGCCACTGGGCTAGGATTCAATGCTGGTAGTAAACCTAACATAATGAAATGCTGGCCTGAGTTAAGCCAGCACTTTCATTACCATAAAAATTGCAGGGTAATACGATAGGAATATAAAAGCCCTTTATCATGAGAAATAATGTTATCAGATGAGGATTGTTCAACTTGGGTATTGTTGGCAATAGCTTTCATGATTTTAAGTATTTTTTTCTAAAATAATAAACCTATCTACATCTCCAACTGGCTGAATCAAAAGTTTGACTTGAATAAAGAGAGCTACAACCAATGTGGACACAAGTCAAGATCATCTTCCTTGATGAGCATGTTTACTGGTAGTAAAGATGTTGCCCATGAGATATATAATGCCAATGCTAAGCAAAAAAACCAAGCACTAGAATGATAATTGGAACAGAACTAACTGGGGCTGATAGAGGAACATGTCAATGATGAGGTCCCGTCCTTTTGCATGGTTGAAGAACACGAATAGAGCCCAGTGGATGAGCCAAGTCCGCTGCTGGAGAGACTCGAGAGCTGATGCAAATGCCTGATTGTCCAGATATTCTTTCAGGCGATTCAGGTCTTCCAGGGCTGTGTCCCAGTTCTGCATCAAGATTTCGGAGGCCAACTTCCCCCAGAGACCGCTCAAGAAGTTCTGGAGCATGGCAAGGAACAAATGTGAATGGAGGGAGGGTTTCAAGATCCAAATCCACAAGCAAATATTGGATGAAGTTTACCCTGTCAGTTGTTGGGACCAGGATTCTGTAGAAGTACAGGTATTCTGCTGCTCCGTGATAATTTCCACACTCGTACTGCAACTTGGCGCAATCGTATAGGGTGTCGATCATTTCTGGGCGGAACTGGAGAGAAAAACGTTTTTAAGCGAGGGCCCTGATATCATCACACAGATTCAGTGGATACACACTTGGAACTGATCTATCAGATAGTCTTGGAGCTGTCTGAAGTCCCGGCTCTCTTGGATCTGCTTTTGGACTTCGGGGTTGATGAATATGCTGAGCACTGGCCCTGCCTCTGATTGCAGATGCTTCAACTGTGCCACAACTTCCACTCTCCTGTCTACTAAGGACTGCAAAAGTACCAAAATTCCTTGCATCCAATTGAACAACAAAATGCAAAACAGATTCACGAGTTGAAACCCCTGCCCACCTTTGGAACACCTTCATCACCAACACCATGAACTTCTTTGTAAACATCCATGGCAAAATCCACCATGTTTGTGTTAATAAGAAGATCCAGTTTCCCCTGGAGGAGTTCTCTTTCATCATAGATCTGCAGAAATAAAAAATGAACTTACATGAGGAAGCAGACTGAATAAAAAAAAATGAAAGAGTTAAGTCAACTCACCCCTTTTCCAGACAGGAATTCCATCAAAGGGAAAACTAAATGCCTATCCAAGTAGGAACCTATCTTCGTCGTAAGATCGAACTCCGCCATCGTGTTTTTTATAATCTGCAACAGGAATATGTATTCTCAGATGCAATTTTAAAATGGCACTAAAGTCACGAAGTCCAGTAGAATTTCTGCGGGAGTGTCCCAGAAGACTCAGATGGTCACACTACATCTGACTTCCAGACGTTACAGGCCTTGTGAGAAGCAACAATACAGAAACTCAAGGCGAAACGAACGGGCAGCCCAGTCACGACTTAAAAACGAATTCGCACAACCTAAACATAAGCTCAATGTTCGTCTTATCTAAGAAAAAAATGGCGAGCGTCAAGACGTGACGCGGAGATTGCACACACAACGTAAAAGACGGAAGCAAAAAAAAGTTAACTGGCGATTGCAAATCCCCGACACTGCCTAAGGCGACCGGAGTGGGACACGAGGAAGTAGCCATATTTGTTGGCCACACGGCCGGAGACCGATCTGACATCTAGTTGAGAGAAGGTGAATCACCAGTATCTCTTCGAAGCGCTAGAGTGAGTCAGTCTCGGACATCCTGAACGCGTGAAGCTAGCTTTGCTGGATTCTCTCCCGATTTTGCAAGACAGAGCCAGACCGCTGGCAGTTCTATTTCGATCGTCGGTTTCCGGATTCCAGAGGCCACACCGGTTCGTTTGTTTCAATCAATCGGGCCTGGAAGTCAATTTCCGGGAATGAATCGGGGCACGTATTCAATATTGGTCGTGAGAACCGCGTTCCCATAGCAGTGTTATTAGCGGGAAAAAAATGTCGACAAAATTATTAGGCCCAGGTCTGTAAGCACAGGTCTGTGCTCACATGAATGAAATACTGCCATGGCAAGGCGAGCTGAGAAATCATCTCTGAGAGGGATGAATTCCGCGTAATAGCGGAGAGTGTTGCACCATCGGTCAGGCTGTTCATAGCTGTTCATAGCTGTTCATTGCTCTTCATGTCGTCTGCTACACATTTTCCAGCTGGGGTGCCAGGAAATTGTAGCCGAAAAACGAGTAGTCTCCAGTCGAAGTGCAAATTGTGCGGACTCCTAGAAAACGTTTTTTCTTCGTTTTTGTTGACAGTGACATCTCGCAGTTTGCTGTTTCTTCCTTTCGACGAAAAGCCGCGATTCTCTCACTGGAATTGAATTCGGGAGATCGGTAGTCTAATGTATAAGCTACAATCTCAGCTTTCTCTGGTTGCAATCCCGATTTCATAATAATGGCTGGGTGGATCACGACTCGGTGCCTCAAATATTTGCTGATAGTTGTTATCGTAGGTCAGGATTTCCATCGCGGTCTTTTTCCGACCCGATAACAAGCAATTAGAAACGCAATTCCAGAAAATGTGATAATTTTGAACGAGAAACGAATCCTAACCGCTCGAATCTCGAAGGTCGACAACTTCGAAGCCAAGAATTGCGCGAGTGATGCGAGTCTTCACGCACAGGGCCTTCCCTAAAATTGCCCAAGTTGCAGGCCGACGCTGGGGGTTAAACGACCGCGAAAAATATGAAAGTTGAAGGCACTAAATAGCATAAAAACTTTTTCTCGAGGCAGATAAATAAGGCCAGCGAGAAAAAAAAAATTTAACAAAGAAAAACTTGTGTCTGACCAGGAAAAAGCGACGAATTAGCATGGCATTCCCCCCCAAGAAAAAAAGAATAATAATAAAATTCACGTTTCAAAGTTGGCAATATTGATTAAATTTGGGTCCGCACATATTATTCAAGTCCCACATTTACAAAGACAGTTTGATATCATTTCAGCTCTGGTGCAATCGAGTAGATCCCTCGAAGTACAATTTTGAATTCACATTCACCAAGTATTACCAACACCAATCGTCTGCCACGAGGAATTTCGGCTGAGCTTCGGCGACAGACCGGGAGACACGAAGAGCGGAAGGTCCCCCCCGTGTCAGAGCGGGATCGCCAGCCTCGGCGCGACGAAGTGGATCGCCCGCAGTCCGGAGGATGACTGACCCGGATGGACCGCGCTGCGTCGGGCCGAAGGTCACGTGACCGTCGAGTCGTCCCCGATTGGCGGATCTTCGCTTCGCGATCCTTCCGATGATATCATCGATGACGTCATCCGTCTTACGTCCCGCTTGCAGATCGAGATCGTCGCTCGACAAGGTACGACTGTAAAGGCAATCACGAAGCAATTACTCAACAAAAGCAATTACCTAGTAATTGCCGAGCAATCATTTTTGCAAAGGCAATCTCTCGCGCGACATTTGACCGGAAAACGGTCACCGATCGAACGAATCCCCCCGAGGTAAAGAGTGAAAGCAGATCAAGAACAGAATCCCTAATGAATTCGGTCGGGTCAAAAGATCTCCGAACCGATGATCGATCCCACCATCTTCTCCCTCTTTTTTCTTCCCCCATTTTTTTTTCTTCCTCGATAATGACTGGGACTTTCACGACTCGCAACCCTCTTGGCCATCGTGACCCTCTTGGCCGGAGTGACCCTCGCGGCCAGCCATTACACCGTGCCCCCCCCGACCCGGCCCCCCTTCGTGCGGTTAAAAAAAAAAAAGAGAAAAGAAACAAGCCGTATTCACCCCTGACGGATTGACAATGAAGAGATGTTTCCTACCCCCCCCTCCCCCCCCCCCCCCNCAGGAAGAGTTGAAATCTCATGATCAGGGATTTCAACAATCCTTGGGTCGTCAGGATTTGAATCGTGGTCTTCTTGAACATTAATCCCTCCTGTTTCGCTTTTCAAAGCATTCTAATCTTCCTCCATGCGGAAGAAACTCTTGAAGTTCACGCATATTTGATGTTCGAGGAATTTAGTTTAGTTTCTTTCTTTGGGAAGAGAGACTTCGAAATTTGTAAATGCCACCTGAAGGGGCTTGGTACGTTATCATCAACTTGGAAGCGTTAGTAGTTGTGGGAGGTGGTGTTTGAACAAGTCCAGTCATTTCAGTCTCTGAAGTGACGATATGAAAACATGTGGAGGTGGTGTTGCTGCTGTATGACTACTGAGCAACCGACTGGAAGGAGCCCAGAGTCACACTCTTCCTCACGAAAGAGCAAAATGAAATCATCCACATCATTAGAAGAGGAGAATGCTTCTAACTTATCCAATTGACCGATTCATCGCCTTCCATACATGAAACAGGACGCCCCCTGTGTTGCGATCTTGTGATAATACGTATCAAAAGACGTTTTGGTGAAGCCTGGCCAAAGTTCCTCGACAACAGAATTGAACCTGGATGCGTCTTGTGTCTGCGATGGCAACTGAGCTCCTATTCGAAGAGATGCCTCATCCGAGAGGGTTCATCAATTTGATCCGAACGCGGAAGGGAGGCGCTCCATTGTTCCTCTAGAAATTTCTGAATTTCATCCTTCGGTCTCGGAAAACGCATATTCCTGTTTTACAGCAAAAAAGGTCCATGTTATCACTTTCCTTGGGGTGCCAGGCAGATTCTTTTTTTTTTTACAGGGGTGCCAAACTGGCGGCCCGTGGGCCGGATTCGGCCAGCTAGTTCATATTACCCGGCCCGCCGAGTCCACTTCACCGGTTGATTTAAGAGAAGCGCTAAAATGTGAACCTGTTCGCATTAAAAATGTGGTTGTCAGATTTGTTATTCTGGCCTCCAACCATTCCAGAAGGGTTCCATGCGACTCCCAGCCTAATGGAGTTTGACACCGCCGCTTTAGAGCGTGATGAGGTGCCAGCTTGCCACGGCACGGTGAATCGTCCGCTGTCAAAATGAGGATTGACTCACGCGAATCACGCGACGTCGTACAGGAGATCACGTGACTGTTTCGTCGATTCCTGATTGGTGGATCTTCTCGTGGCTCCTCCACGTCTGAGACGCCTTCCTCGCGTGAAACTGCTGATGACGTCATGGACGACGTCATCCGTTCGACATTCCCTGCCGTCCTCTTGGGGCGAGGCAAGGCGGGTGGAGGGTCTGGTCCGCTGCTGGGAGACCCATAGCAGTGCGAGACGCATTCTCGAGAATGGCATGTCTAATGGCATGTCTAATGGCAGCGCCGAAGAATGGCCACTTTCGGTAATGTGCATGGCGTTCTCATACGCCGTTCTTTCTCGGTCGATCGCCGAACTCCGGACTCGTTCGAACGGTGGAACCGGTCCCGCCTACGCGTGCATTTTTTTTTTTACGTCAGACCTGATTCGATTTGCGGAGAGACCCTGATATTATTTCCTCTCTCAAAAAATGCGAATAGTTGGAAATGAGTAGAATAGAAAGTGAGATTTCTTGCTTTCCACGCAGTGAAAGAAAGCTCCAAACTCCCTAATATTCTCTTGATATTCAGGTTGGGCAAATCAGTTGGGGACAAGAGGGGGAGCCATTCTCCCCCTTTCAAAATCAATATTTATAATTTTTACATTCATACTTATTGGTCTGTATCTGTATTTTTTTTCCACTCTGATGTCGTGGGTATGGTTGGTGGAGCAATTCCTTGCTTCACTCAAAAATGGAATGGACATCGGCAAAGATTCACCGAAGACCTACGATGCGCCACATTTGATCATTGACCACATCTGTTGGATGGGAGGCGAGAAATTCACGATCAAAGTTATATTATTTCTTTTTATAGGACATCAAAGCTGCTTCGCCCATAGGATTTCATTTCCAAATACGAAGTCCTGTCATTTGTCCCATTTTTCTACACAAGCGCCGAAATTCAAGGACAGCTACTTTCGGTGCCAAACTTGGGGAAATTTTTATTCTCTAATTTTTTGTGGGGGATGGGGATTTCGATTAAAGTCGAACATCGGAAATAAATGGCAACGCTAAAAACGGTACTCGAAAATGCAAACTGAAAGGAGCGTTTCACATTCTTTCGATCACCTCGTTGATTTCCTCGTTCGTAGAATTCCCCACAGTACTTCTCGGAAGTACATGACGGCTTTACTTAGTACTGGCCAGCGAGAATTTCCGATTCGTTTCGAGGGCTGAGGCAGAAAAAGCCGTGCAGCCCCGAAGGTTGATGAGGCGTTCTAATCGCTTAATTGAGCAAACCCAGATTCGACTGCAAAGCCTTTCACCGCGGTGATGAGTCCGGATGAGGTTGC